ACTTACCATCACGTGAGCCGCATGCTCGTTTGCCCCCTCTCCTATAAAAAAAAACTGTGAAATGTTTTATATATGTGCTAGTAAGAATAAATGTATAGTTTTCTGTTTTATCCATAACTTAGCAAAATATATCAAAACAGTCGCCGAAGCCTTACCCAGACACTTATAGAATTCAACTGAATATTCCGCCAAATATTTCAAATTCTATTGGTTAGATTCGTTAAATTCTAAATCGGGCATACCTAGCTAGAAACAACTGGAAACAGTTCCTAGGGCATTCTTGTAACAATGAATTTCTGAATTTAATGGAACTAAATAAATGAGTATTAATAAAATGTGGGTATAAAATTATTTAGCTAAAATCCGGGCAAAAAATAAAAATGATGTGTCTTACTTAGTTTGAAGAGCACCTCCCGCGCTTCCTCAATTGCGTGTACTATCCCCATCACCACTAATCTAAGCACCACTGCACTAGGAAGGACACACCATTATTGATAATACGACACATGTTTCGCCTATAAACGAAGCATCTTCAGGTCAACATAATTTTAGTGACGACAGGTATTTTATTCTACTACCATTTTATAACAAGGTTTCTATGTTTGGAGAAGAAATGACGAAAGAAACTCCTCAGGTATCCTCTTTTTGTCTTTTTTTCAAAGGTCACTGATATATGGTCTCGAGGCAAGTGTTTTTTATAGAATAAGGGTAATAAACGAGCCCACAGTCCACCTGATGGGAAGTGCTTGCTGTGACGCATAGACACATACATTTATCCTCAATAAAGAATCAAAATGCAAATGTGTCGTTACCCGTGAGGACTAAGATGGAATGCCTCTTTTCTCGTAAAACGGGTCTCCGGTTCAGTAGCATTAAGCTGCTATTTTACGCTGGTATTCTGTGAGAGCGTGGTCCTTCCCCGATCGAGCCGACCTATTCGTGCTTCAACTATACTATTTATATAGCTGCAGCATGGCTCTACCAAGTAAAAAAACATACATAAGATATTACAAAGATATCACCTTGATCAAAACGTTTTTAACATGTTAAACCAATTTATCTTTCGAAAAACTGAATAAAACAAACAATACATTATAAACTTCACACGTCAGAAGACCGCCATTAACAACAATAATGAAATTGTTCGCAAGTCATTTAGCGGGACGCTAAGCTGCAACAGATTTCGTGTTTGCAGACAGACAGACGGACAAATGGCCGCGAGCACTTCATTACGGTGTACAGGCGTAAGCAGTATTGTAAAGCAAGGTTGAAACAAAACGCTTTTACAGGGCTAGTGGTAAATTAATTGCTTTGTATTTTACAATGGCGTAAAGAAAATGGGACAAATATAAAAGTAAAAAGTCTAAAAGATACTTTTTAATTTTTATGTCTTTGTTATGGCCAGGCAGTATTAGAAAATGTTGTACAAAGGGTAAATAGGTATAATAGGTTTGTGAATGCGTCTTGAATCTAGAGGCGGTGTAAGGAAATACAACATTTATCCAAAAGGTCGCTCAGGAAAACCAAAGAAGTTCTCATGGCTCATACAGATGAAGGGCAGCGGTATCTTCCTGATTACAACTCAAAATAATAACAAAGACTGTGGTTTCAACTATATCAAATATTATGGAACGAAGTTTCTTATCGAATGGTACGAATTAGGTGGATGGGGGCTAGGCGAGAAAAAGTGTAAGACTTTTCCATCACGACCCCCTTTTTATAGTGCGAAAGAGATGGAATAATATCCGTCTCCTTCGCATTTTTTTTGTGTTGCCATGAAAGAAATATTATTTTAAATGACGTTTCATTTTAATAGACGCTAGTAATTCATTGATTTGTATTTGTTAATCAATAATATAATACGTTTATCAATAACAATATACGACAAAAGGAACTTCGTTCTAACCGAGTGTTCCACGACACTCACGCTCATGTTTTTTTCCCTATTATGCAATCTATGGGAGAGGCCTATGTTCAGCAGTGGACTTTGATAGACTGTAAACGTGAAATATATAAAGTTAATAGGACTTTGTTACGCTAAGACAGTGTGATTTACAATCTAGGACTTTATCACCACTTACCACCAGTTAAGGATTGTAGTCAAGCACTGACTAATCTATACATATAAATGAAATTGCACTGTTATAATGTAATATTGAAATAACTGCCTGATGTTGAGTTGAGGGGGTTATTTGCATGTAATTTAGAACATGAACCGTAAACATTTTTTGAATGTTTGTATGCCTGTCCGGACTTATCTTTAGAATGGCTGAACCGATTGTAATGAAAATTCACGAACTGGTAGAGAACAATGCCAAGAGTGTTATAGGTTTCAGACTTTATTTACCCTAAAATCTTGGAAATTTTTATTTTTTGAAAATTCGAAATGTTGATAATATAAATTGTATTTGATTGCCTTAAAACTAAATAACGCTACATTAGTAGACTCTACCCAGGTGGTGCATAAGCATATTTCTAGTAATAAGTAAAAAAAAATATGATAATAAGGAAATACGTTAAATATTTTCTTGAATTCCAATCTTTCTTCCGGCTGTGCGTCGCGGTATTCGTAAAAATGTTCATTAACGAAGTCCGAGGTGCTGTTAGACGCAAACGATAAACAAAATGCATACGCAGACGTACAATACAATACACGTAGCGGTAATATTTTGCATCGTCGGCTACGAGATCTTTTTTTTTCAGCGGAAACAGGCCCGACTTCGCCGTTGAAAAAGTTCCGTAGACTGTTATTAACGACCGTGATCTTTACAGAAAGTATTAACAAGACTAGACTGCGGGCGAACTCTTAATACTAAATCTGTCCTTGCAATAAAGAATATTTCAACAATGTGAATAGAATGAATAGAGAACTTCGGCCAAAATCGATACAAAAACAATCCCTCCGAGGTCGTGATGTGTTGTGCGTACATATTATATAACATAACATGTTTCACAACATGTTATGTTATATACATATATACTTAACATGATTCAGTAATGTGGAGGCTGATGTAATAAAACGTGTTATATAACGTTACACAAATGTTATATAACTCGAGATGCGACGGAGGCGTCGCGCGGGGCAACGACAAATGACAATGTCATATAACATTGTTATATTGTATTGTTATTCTAATGTGTACAGTATTGTTATATGTTGCAATGTTGAAAAACAATGTTACATAATGTGGACGTGTTATAAAACAAACTGTTACTTAATCTGTATGCACCTTTAGTCAAAATAACTGACTGAATCGAGCTACTTTTACGGATTTCATCGTGTTTAATTAAAACAAAATTTGGTTATGGTTTTGGCTGCAAGTTACCTTACTGCCTGCTCTTTTTATAAAAACAATATAGTGCACAGGCTAAAAATAAATCGTTCACATAAACAAACTCTTATCACCTCAGTCCCTCTCGTTTGGACTTCGTCAATATTCAATTATATTTTGATTATTATTTTGGGCCTATTTATAAAGTACTAACTAATACCCGCGACTGCGAAGAAAAATCGTTGTTTCTTAAAACTTTAACAACTTTATATTAAACTAGCTGTTCCCCGCGACTTCGCCCGCGTGTTATTTTTTGGGGTTTTAATTTTTTTGCGCGGAACCCTAAGTCTTTTTCGAAAATAAAAGTAGCCTAAGTTACTCCTTGTGATATCGGCTATATGCCAGTGAAAATCCCATCAAAATCGGTCCAGTCGTTTCTGAGATTAGTCGGAACAAACAGACAGACAGACAGACAGACAAAAACTTTAAAAATTGTATTTTTGTTAATAGTACCGTATATACTTTCATATGCATTTAGTAAAAAGCTGTAATTTTGACATTACAAACAGACACTTCAATTTTATTTATTTGTATAGAGGAGGATATCGCAATATTTTTTTTAGATAAGGGCCAAGTGTATAAGAAGTAAAACTTAGAAAACCTAATTGAAATCTATCCAGTAGTTTTTCCGTGATGCGCACACAACTGCAAACCTCTATCATTTTATTTATTCTTGTCTGGTTTACATCATACATAAGAATTGGTAAATGATATGAAAAAAAAAAGATTTAATGTAGTTATAGTATCGTATTTATAACAAAGACCCAATCCGATAGAAGGAAGTGATACCAAACCTCAATGGGCATCTGCATTGCTGAAAACCAACGCTACCGCAATCCTGCGATAGCACTACGTTGAGTCAGTGCCCTGTTCAGCATCACATCACTCATGCAATCGGATCATTTTATGACTGTTTTTTGTTATTTACTTTTATCTTTGATGTTTTTATGTATTATTTTATTTTCTGTATCAAAACTGTATGAGTGTATGTTGCTGAATAAATGCATGTCTATGTCTATGTCTATGTCAAACAGCAGACCGGGTTCGTCAAAAAGCGAAAGTCACCTACGGACGAAGTGGACAGTATCGAAGAAAAGCGTCATCTGCATTTGAGCCCTGAGCTGACTGACCAGGATTAACCCGTTCGCAGAAACGACTACAGAAATAATTTCGTTCGGCAAACCGGTCACCTCGTGAGCTGGGTTTCGATATTTTAACCGACTTCAAAAAGGAGGAGGTTCTCAATTCGAGTGTATGGTTTTTTGTATGTATGTTACGCGACATCTTCGCAGATTGTGAACCAATTTTGATTTTTCTTTGTATATTAAATAGGTTATACTTCAAGGGTGGTCCCATATAATTTTGGAGAAAAAATTTTACCTCTAAGAGTAGCAAATAAATAACTTCTTTTTTAACAATTTGGAGTCGGTTTTTACTTTTTGTTAAAAGTTATGATTATTTTTTTTATATAGGATAGGGATCCAAACGATCACACAGTTCACCTGATGGTAAGTGGTTGCTGTGGCCTATAGATATCTACATTTATACTCGTTTGCGAATCAAAATGCAGATGCGTTGTCACCGACTAAGATGGAATGCCTCTTTTCCAGTAAAACACAAAAAAAAATATTTTCACGAATCGACATTAATCGCGCGTATCATGTAATAATGGTCAACCCTAACGATGTAGAGAAGACCGCCATAATAACACCTTTCGGTCTCTTTGAATTCCCACGCATGTGTTTTGGCCTGCGTAATGGTGCACAAACTTTTCAACGGTTTATGAATCACACAGTTTTTGAGGGCTTAGATTTTCTTTATACCTATATAGATGATGTCATCATTGCAAGCACGGATATGACGTCACATAGAGAGCATTTGAATATTGTGTTCGAGCGGTTAAATAAATGCGGTTCGACTATCAACTTGAATAAATGCTTATTTGGACAGTCTAAAATAGATTTTTTGGGTTTCGAGGTATCTACGGAAGGTATTCATCCTCTTAAAGATAAAGTTGATGCTATATGTGCTTTTCCGAAACCAGTAACTGTTGAAGAACTCAGGAGATTTTTGGGAATGGTCAACGTTTATCGTTTACATTTGCCCAATGCTGTAGAGTATCAAATGTAGTTAAATAAATTTAAAAAAAAATCCAAGAAGAAGGACAAGACTAAAATTAATTGGGATGAGAAGTCGAACGAAGCATTTATACAATGTAAAACAAAGTTGCAAAACGCAGTAAGCTTATCGTATCCGACACCCGATACCCCGCTTACACTTATGACGGGTGCATCGAATACAAGCGTGGGAGCGGTATTGCAACAGCATGTAGGTATTTCATGGTCACCGCTAGGATATTTTTCGAAAAAATTATCGCCAACTCAGCAGAAATACAGCACTTACGTTAAAGAACTTGTAGCTATTTATCTTGCAGTGAATTATTTCAGAAATATGGTTGAGGGTCAAGATTTGGTAATTTTTACAGACCATAAACCCTTAATTTTTTCGTTTTCAAAAATCAATAGCAACAATGTACGAGTATTACCTAGGCGCGTGAGACAACTACTATTTATTAGCGAGTTCACTACGAACATTAAGCACATTGAAGGTGACAAGAATATAGTAGCGGACGCGTTATCAAGGATAGAGACCGTAACTTGTCCCACCGTATTAGCTTATGCAGCAATCAGCAGTGCACAGAGTAATGACGAGCAGCTAGTTAGTCTACGCAATTTTAATAAGTGGAATTTTAAACAGATATTTATTCCTGATAGCGACTTTCCCGTTCGGTGTGAAATGTCTACCAATCGGGCGAAACCATATTTACCGGAACAATTTAGGCGGTTAGCTTTCGACTCTATTCATAGTCTTAGCCACTCCGGAATCCGTACCTCGCGTAAGCTAATGGCTAACAGATTTTTCTGGGTTAATATGAATAAGGACGTAGGTAAATGGGCCAAGTCGTGCATTGCATGTCAACGTGCCAAAGTTTATAGACATAATACTTCGGAACTAGGGCATTTTCCGTTGTCGGAAAGATTTTCCCACATTCACGTCGACATAGTTGGTCCACTTAATATTTCCTTGTAAGACTATAGGTATCTCGTCACAATAATAGATCGACAGACCGGTTGGCCAGAGGCGTTTCCAGTAAGGGATATATCTGCAGAAACGGTTTCTAAGGCAATTTTCGAAGGGTGAATTTCGCGTTTTAACTGCCCCGTTCAGCTTACTAGCGACCAGGGCAGACAGTTTGAAAGCAATGTTTTTCAAAATTTAATGAAATATTTAGATGTTTATAAAACCAGAACTACTCCTTACCGCCCGCAAAGCAATGGGCTGGTTGAGAGGTGGCATAGATCCCTAAAGGCCGCGCTTATGGCCAGGTTGGATTCTAAGACCTGGGTTGAGGAACTACCTATAGTTTTGTTAAGCTTGCGAGCAACCCCGCGATCAGACACTAGCTTTAGTGCCGCCGAATTAATATACGGTCAATCTTTAAAGCTGCCCGGAGATTTTTTCGGTAATAATTATAATTCAAAAATTTTAAATCAAAGCGAATATGTCGAACGGTTACGAAAAATGATAAGCGAGCTGAAACCTAAGCCTACGGCACATAATTCATTCATACAGTATTCATTCATAGCTATTTAAATACCTGCACACACGTTTTTGTTAGGAGTGACCTTGTACGGAAGTCATTATAACCTCCATACGAAGGACCATTCAAAGTTTTAGAACGAAAGGGAAAAGTTTTCCTAATACAAATGCCCAGTAGAAATGTATTTATATCCGTAGATAGACTTATATAAGCGACAGCCAAAACGTGACTAATGTCGACAATACTAGTGATAAGGATATTTCTTTAAATGACAGTAATATTAATATAAGCGGAGCGGAAAAAGTTGATCGCCCGCTCAGCTACATCACGCGTAGCGGCCGTATTTCAAAGAAGCCCATACGTTTCAATTTATAAATGTAGTTAGGTCGATACAATGAATATTATTTAGCATTTTTAGGCAAAATACTTCTTGTCAGCGTTGACTTTCATGTAGTACATACATACTTACTCCGAATAAATAAACTATTAATAATTTTAATATAAATAATGGGTAACACGGTGAACAAAGATGAGGTCGTTGTCGCCCAGTCCGAAGCAGTTATGAAGGAGACAATAGTGCGATCATATATTGGTTGGGCTGTTGCAATTTCCGTGATAATCGTTTTGATCCTGTATTTCTTCTGCCGTTACGGGACAGCCCAAGTTAAAAAGTGGATGCGGAAGCAAATGGGATTCATGCAGGAATAAACCTTGCAAATGACTCAAGTTGCCAGAGCCAGCTTTCGAAGAACGCGCCCAAATCGCCAACTAAAAATGAGATATGTTAACAGTGTTTGGCGATATCAGAGTACTATTTGGTTTGTCTGGCTTGTAAGAAGTGTTTAAGAAAATTCAAAATTTGATGTACTACTTTTGGCGTTATAATTCATTTTAACTATAGCATATTAAAATGTGTAATATACCTATGTTTTAATTTTTAGCATGTGGAACATGTTGTTAATGTTAATTGCATGTAGCTCGAGCGTCGATGACTGCTGACGCTTCAAATGTGATTCCCAGTGTTTAGACATATGATACCACATGTTTGTGCATTACAATTGATAAGCATTACGTTGTCACCCGGTTCTGTCTATGTCTAAATGTTTGTATATTCAAAATATATTGTATTTGTATCTTAAAAAATAAAAAAAATTTTGGGGGGAGTGATGTAACTACACGTAGCATATATACTTATAGTACCTATGTAACTGAGTGGTGTGAGGCAGTAGCAATATGGCCGGCACTGATGTATCGCGTGTATATAATAAACTGCTATTTCTTACAACGACTTTATCTCATTTCTATCACACTACACGGATATTAGTTAAAAGAGTCTCCGGTTCTCTACACTCACCATACGAAACACAGCAGCGTTAAGCTGCTATTTTACGCTGGTATTCTGTGAAAGCGTGGTTCAACCCCGGTCGAGCCGAACTATTCGTGCTACAACTATACTACTAATATAGCTGCAGCATGGCTCTACCATATATAAAATCGTGTCTTATCTGTCCCGGCTTTCACAAGTATGGAATGGTAATGTCGACCAAAATATCTGGTTCATTCGCAAAAGAATCCCTGCCTGTGATGATGACCCGTTTCCAGTAGAGGCTGGCGCGGTCATTTTCGAGCACGGCTTCCGACAACTACTTATAATAAGGCAATATCTGATCCACGAAACCGTATTTTAAAGCGAGCTTCTAGTATAGAATCCTGGCTACCAGGTTGTGATAATCATTACCTGTTATACGTGATTCTAACTCTACCACGAACCATAATTAAAATACGTTTAACATATCGGATACGATGTCGGAAGGCCCAGGCACTTACAGAATACCAGCGTATTTTTTACAGAATAAGCGTGACAAACTAGCACACAATCCACTTGATTGTAAATGGATGCTATGGTCCATAGACATCTACAATTATCCTCAATTAAGAATCAAAATGCCGAAGCGTTGTCACCCCTGAGGACTAAGATGGAATGCCTCGTTTCCAGTAAAAGAGTTTCTGGTTCACTACACGCACCATACGAAACACCATTAAGCTGCTATTTTACGCTGATATTCTATGAGAGCGTGATAATATAAAACTAAAGTGACAGTAACAGTTCTTCTCTTTAAGGTGTCTCATTTTTAAAAGATTGTGTTCACAATAATACCTTTGAATAAGACTCTATGATAATTTAAGTTTTTAGTTTTAGTTTTGTTTATATCTTTGTTTTTAAATGTTGTATATGTTTGAATAAGACTAAAATTGAATAAAACATTTTTGACTTTGACTCTGAATTACATGTCAATAACCTGAACTCGTATTTGTTTTTTATAAAATAATAGACGAATGTTGTTCAATCAATTGCATTTTTCATCCGCATTTTAAAAGAAAATACCGGTCGAATTACTCCATTTCAGTTCCAATATGAAATATTTCCAGAAATAGTTTTCAAAACAAGTTCGACGCAAGCGAAACAATGCTACACATATGAGCGGGAGGTTTCTTCACTTTTTTTCGAAACGCATGAGTTTTTTTTTGCGTTTATTTTAACAGACGTTATACGTTGAGGGAGAAATGCACCTCGCGTTACGTTAATTGCTTTTTTAAAACACATTCCATGCGCAAGTTTTTTAATAACCAGCCACATTGCGCGGAAATTGCGTAAACTCCTGGCTGGTGAGGATGTTTCACGGTTTACAAATGTATAATATAATAATAATAAAGCTTTTTATTTGTCTCAACACATGGTTATGCTAACTGTATAGATGTAGCACAAATGGGTCGGCTCGGCCGGGGAAGGACCACACTCTCACAGAATACCAGCGTAAAATAGCAGCTTAACATTGCTGTGTTTCGTATGGCGAGTGTAGAGAACCGGAGACCCTTTTTACTGGATACGGAGCATTCCATCTTAGTCCTCACGGGTGACAACGCATCGGCATTGTGATTCTTAATCAAGGATAGATGTCTATAAACTATGATCTAGAAACTGGCCTGTGACTCGGCTATGTGGTGATTTGAGGTTACCGCTGGTGTTCCGTCAAAGCCGACTCTTAAAAAGATAGTATCTTAACCTAATTTTGACCCTGACGTGAAAAAAATATAAAGAATAGACTGAAATTTATACCTATATGTGCTATGCTACTTCCCTTCGCCTTTATACAACTATATAATGGAATGAATTTGTATTAATTAAAAACATATAACGTATGCGTTTTATTAATACAAAATCTTAGTAGCTCAGGGGCTAAACGCTCGCTGTAAATTTCACAGTACGCGAGTAACCCGCGTTCGATCCCCACCGGCACCAACGATATTGTTAATTGCAATTTTAAGTGCTAACCACGTGCTCGGCGGTGAAGGAAAACATCGTGAGGCAACCTGCATGTCTGAGAAATAAGGAAAAAAATATTTCGAAGACACGTGAAGTTCGCCAACACGCATTGGGGCAGCGCGGCGGACATTTTCTTTCTCCCAAAGAAAACCCGGTTGCCGGGTCTTAAAATCGAAAAGCCGGATGACCAGCCAGTTTAGCCGG